AAGACACACCGGGTGTCACTCCTGTCAGCTAAGAACAGGAAACTGAGGCTGTAATTCGCACGGGCTCACCAAAATTGGAAAATAGAAGATTGGAAAACCATCGCTTGGTCTGATAAGTCTCAATTTCTACCGCAAGATTCAGATGGTAGGGTCAGAATTTGGCCCAATACAGCCTACCAGAGTATTGTTGCTGACCATGTCCATCCCTTTATGACCACAGTGTACCCGTCTTCTGATGGCTACTTCCAGCACAGCAGGATAATATGCCATGTTAAAAAGCATAAATCATGTTTTCTTGAACTTGACTGAGTTCACTATACTCAAATTGCTTCCACAGTCACCAGGTCTCAATTCAATAGAGTTTGGGATGTGTGGTGAAATGGGAGATTTGCATCATGGATGTTCAGCCAACAAATCTACAGCAACTGTGAGAACATATCATATCAATATGGACCAAAATCTCTGAGGAATGTTTCCAGCACCTTGTTGAATCTATGCCATGAAGAATAAAGGCAGTTCTGAAGGCAAAAGGGTGTCCAATCTAGTACTGGTATACCTAATAAAGTGGCCAGTGAGTGTGTGTCTATAAAGTATATAATGGAAACGTTTTATTTGTTTTTTTTCCCCAGCATGTTTGTGATCATTAACCGACATCAGATAACTGTGAAAATGCAAAAAGCAAATATGTTATTAAATTATTTAAATATTTACTTACATTTCTAAAGGGGTACTTCAAATAAATATTTTAGGTCAAAAGGTTTTGGCTGACAAAAAAATTGAGGAATGTCTGTTCTAAAGCATGGAGCATTTCACCATGGGTCTATCATTCAGAATTTATTTTATTATTTAACAAATATAGATATACATGAATACAATTCTAAAAGGAAACTATTTCTGTGGTAAAAAAAAAAAAAAAAAAAAAAAATTTAACACCTCATGCAAAACAATCTGCACACTTACAGCAACAAGAACAAAAAAAGCAAAAAAAAGGACTTTGTATGTCTATGGACTTGGTTAAGGGATTAATTTTGGGATAATGACCTGGACACATGAACATGAAATGTAGATTTTAGTTGAAATTATTATCTAACTTGTATATTAGTGTAAATGCTCTAACTTATTAGTATAAAAAAAAACAATAACTCAATAACATAGAAAACTATGAATCTATTAACAAGACAACTTGCATTGGGTGCAGAAACTATTCTCCAGAGCATCAACGTTGGATTTATATTAAAATGTAAAAAGTCTGCCTCAAAAACACATATTTTTGACAAGTTCTTTGATGCATATTATCAGTTGAAACCAAAGGGCCTCCACTGGGATGTTGATGTTGGTTTAAACTTTAAACACGACGGCGTTAGGACCTTACAGCAGCGTCGAGCTGAGTGGATTGGGTTCGGTTGCATCCTTCACACTGTTTCGCGATAATGTCAGCAGCACGCCTGGTCTCTCTCATCGCTTGCTGCATAACGTTTTTCCAATCTGGAAATGCTCAACTGGGAGAGTCTAAAGTAAATGACAGACCTTATGAAGTCCTGCTGAGACAAAATCTGGGTAAGACATGACTACACACGCGACTGAACCCGTGTCAGGCCTTTCATATTCACAATGAGTGAACCTGTCAGTGTCATACATCATGACATCACAGTTTATCACTGATTCAGTTTTAAAATGTTGACGTTTCACATTGCTAAATTGGACTCTCAGTTAAAAGCTTAAAATCATAGTATTTTGTACTAAATCAGCAGATTTATTTGATTTGCTTGTTTATTTTATCTTCTCCTTCAGTTCTTCTTTTAAGTGTTCTGTCCACACTGTTGGTGATCATGATTGGAATGGCAGTTTGTGTCTATAAACCTCTTCGACGCAGGTGACAATCGACAATCCCTATGGATGAAAGAGAAAGATGCCGGGAACTGAACACTACTATGGCGAAGGCTTGCTTCTGAATATTAATGAGCCAATTCTTCGCCATTGGCCAAGAACACCGCAACGTCAGCACAAACGAACTACTTAATAGTCGGTATTGAAGGTTGAAAAATCAACGTTAGTATGCGCAAATTAAATGGATAAAACCCTTATCGTCTTAAACACTTCATGTCAGTGTAATCGAGGTTAAATCTCCATGTGCATCGTAGCCTATAAGAAAAAATATTGTAATTTAAATGGTTAAAATTGAACACTATTTCAACCACATGTTTTCCTCAATGTGCTCAGTTTGTAAGCTGCTAAATTGTGTTGCTACTGTCTGAATTTATACGTATTTATTTATTTTGGTGTATTTATTGTGATGTTTATTTGACAGGTTCTGGCAGTTCAGACCTTTTGAATAGGCCTACTGAAATAAATGTCAAAACTTTAATCTGTATGAATGTGTTCAAAATAAAGAACTGAATGCAACAATGCCTAATCAACACATTAAAATGTTATAGTTTAAATTATGTTTAACTACACTTCTGTAAAGTTAATTAGCATTTAAAAGGACTATGGTTGTTTTTGGTATCAGATCGTACTACCACGTTACTGAATAGTTAGCATATTTAGCCTACATCACATTTGCTCTAATTCTCTCTACCTTGTCTGCTTAAGTGTTGTCTCCTCAATCCCACCAGCCCCTGTGTGAATTTCTTCCCATTATGGAAGAGATAACTCATCCCTCTAATCCAGTTGCAGATGGCAGATGGATTCTTATGTATAGCCTATATTTGCATAATGGTTTTTCATCACATTTTAAGAAGCTGGTCCACAAGCCAAACACCTGCTGAGCTGAAGTCACGAAGAAAGTTGCTTCGGGTAATTTACCAATATAGCACAAGACACTTGAGCTGATTAAAGTCAAACAATCCAAATGAGTGAAGAAAACAATTTCCTGTGAAATGAAAGGCTTTTAAAGTAAAAACTGAATACAAGCTGTAACATTCAGGATCCTTCTTTTGCATCATGTAGCAAAATATTTATCTATATAGTAAACAGGACTGATATGAATTCTGACTTGATACATAAAAAAAATTATTTGGCAGTTAGACTGAAATTGTTACAATAGGTTTGGGAAGTAAACAAGTCGATCAACTTGCACTTACACTGGAGGACAATTAGCCTATAATTTATTTAAACTTACATGAATGCTAACCAAGCTGCTGGTCTACATTCACTTTGTACTAAATCAATCTCACTTTCCATATTTAAAGGGATAGTTCACCCAAAAATGAAAATACTGTCATCATTTACTCAACCTCAAGTTGTTCCAAACCTGTATGAGTTTCTTTCTTCTGCTGAACACAAAAGAAGATATTTTGAAGAATATGGGTAACCAAACAGGCCAAGGCCCCAACGACTTCCATATGGGAAAAAAAAAATACTATGGAAGTCAATGGGGCCCATCAATTTTGTATTTATATAGTGCTTTTTACAATAAAGATTGTTTCACAGCTTTACAGTAATAACAGGAAAATAATGCAACAAAGTTTTTTTTGTCTGTACAGCAGATCTAGAAGAACATAGTGTGATAGTGATGTGATGATCATTCGTTCAGTGATGGTTCATTTCTGTTGTAAAAAAAATATTAATTTAGTTCATTTATCTATACAGAGGAGAAAACAGTGATGCCATCGTCCAGCTCAGTTTTCACATAATGGTGTCAATGCAGGCAGATCAATAATATTGTTGAATATTAAGTGTCCCCAACTAAGCTAACCAAAAGCCAAAGGCAACAGTGGCAAGGAACCAAAACACCACCAGGTGACAGGATGGAGAATAAATCTCCATTATTCTCCATCCATATGGTTACCCATATTCTTCTAAATATTTTCTTTTGTGTTCAGCAGAATAAACAAATTCATACAGGTTTGGAACAACTTGAGGGTGAGTAAATGACAGAATTAAATTTTTGGGGTACACTATCCCTTTAAGAAAATATTTGCTGTGTCCATAACTGTACAAAAAACGTTTATATATCATTATGTAAAACCCTATCATCTATCAGTAATCAGCCTTAATGTAAAGTTGGATGCATTTGACACTCCATAAAATTCCTCCAAGTCAGCTTCTTTAAAACGGTTTCCTTCACTTTCACATGTGATCATGATTTCACAATCATGATTTCATTCCCAGAGACGGCTGAGATTGACTGCACACTGCCTCAAACCACCGCTGACATACAGCTTTCCTCTGCCAACACATGGCACTCGAAGCTCTGTTGAGATGAGGTGCCTAGACAACCGTTCACATCTAACGCAGGGACCTGTTCAGAAAATGTCACATTACACAATTTCTCACAAAACCTGAATGATGTACCCTCGTGTGTGAGGCTAATAAACTATCAAACCTCATTGTGCGAGAAGGACTGGAGAATGCTTAAAATCTCAAATGCTCTTTTTCGAATAATGTTACTGTAATTGTCACAGGTCTGATTGGTTGACTGTGGGAGGGAAAACAGAACCAGAAATACCATTAACACACTTTCCATTAAGAATATTCGTGATGGATAAATTTTTCAAAAAAGATATTAAAAAGCATTCAACACAAAAAAAGACAGTTTGTTACACACCAGAACAGTGCCATCTGTTGGTTTGTTTAATAAATTCATGATGCACAGGAGATGGATAGATTTTCCTGAAATAAAAGTTAAATAAATTGATAGATTTGAAATGATCATATTAAAAAACAGAGCAGCATGAATATTAAGACAAACGTGTAAATAACTAAAAATAAAGTATAAAAAAAAACATTTCATTAATATATCTTGCCATCAAAACTATACGTTCAAAGTTTCAGACATGTTTCACTAATAACCAAAGTAAAAATTACCTCTAAAACAATTAGTAAAAAAACACTTGGTTTTTATGATAAAATTGATCTGATCAACATAATAGCTTTTATGCCTTTATTATTTGATTCTCCATGTCCATGCAGCTTTCATAGTTAATGAAGCGCCATAAGTCAATAAAGTGCTTTTATTAAAGTAAAAACATATTTTTTTGTGTGTGTGTGTGTGTGTGTGTGTCAAACATACATCACAGTTTACAAATGCCTTCAGGATATCTTCAACATGCTCAAACAGGATACTTTAAACTTGCATTTTTCAGCAATGACAATTAACCGAGAATCAAACCAACACTAACCCTGATCCGATAGACCATTAAACATTTTGGCAATTAGTTAGTTAAGTCTTATACCCAAATACCAAAAGTTAAATTAGGTTTTAAATAAAGAATGAAGATAAATTCTGTGTCCAGGAATAATGATGTGTGGATAATCGTAGCCAGAGCATTTGATTTATTCTAGGCTGTTATTAATGCAGCATAAAAATAAAATCAGGAAACTAAAATCAATGTCTTGTTATTACAACATCCCTTTTATAAATGCAAGATTGTAGCCTCAGATCCTTGTTTGCTACAGGAAGAATAAAGCTATAAATGTCAAAAAAAATTATGAGGTGACGGATATAGTTCACATCGGTTCAAGCACACTGGTTCATACAAAAAGTAGTGAGAGATACTGCAAGCTGTAAGTCAATAGTCAATACTCAGATGTCTTTCGAGCCTCACAAGGCTTTAAAAAACACTTACAGGAAGGAGTCAACAAAAGAACAATCAAGTTCGCAACAAAATAAATAGCACTGTCAGCTACAAGAGGAAGGAACAGCATGAGATTCCCTAAAGATTCCCAAACAGAGCAGGGCAGGTTCTTCCACGTTTATCAATTATCACATTTATCAGAACCTCAGTCAGCAAACAATGCTGTCCAACCGCACACATTTCCACAGGCAACCATTTTAACGTCACCTTCCGAAACAAAAACAGCTGGTTTTCTCGTCACACATTCCCCTAGTCCTTTAGTGTAGCATGAGGTTTGGTTGGTGCCAGAAAAAGTGACCCAGGACTGCCACATTCATGCTTTGCATTACAACATACTTTTGGCGATCCAAGCGGTTTTATTGTATCATTTTACAAATTAGGCAGACTAAAAGCTTGAGGCGTATTGGCTTACATCGGACAGCCCCTTTCAGGAATATTCCGGTCTGTATGAGTGCCTCTTACTCCAGCGAGGCACAGTGGTGTGGATTTATTGCCTTTACAGTACAGATGCTTCAGTCAGAAGTGGTCTAATGACAAAAGCACACGGAGGGGGGTTAAGAATGGTACTGTCCTACTGCTTTGTGTGAAACATTCATTTCTTACACTTTCCTTGGCTGTGTATAAAATGGTTTTAAAGGAACCAATAACTGGTGATCAGTTTAACCCTGAGAGATAGTATTATATAAACCTAAAGCTAATGTTAATGCAAAAAAAAAAAACTTCCTTTCAATAAAAAACAAACAAAAAAAATGTAGCTAGTCATTACTGTCAAGATGTACACACTCACACAGGTTCATGTTTGGACTGTCAAGGACATCACAACCTTTCTACCACATAATATTTTAAAAAAGCAGCACTGATTTTTTTTTATAAAATACATGCGTGATCACCTCTTTAAAGGAGGGAAAGAAAGCGGAAAGCAGTAAAAATCATGAAAAAAAAAATTGCTTATTTTTTGGATAAGGAAGCAGAACCTTTCAGATGTCGGCTCCAAACTGAATATGTAACTAAGTGTAGTCGTATGTCAGTGGCAACAGAGAGCTGCGTGAATCTGAAGAAAGGTATAAATAAAAAAGGTTTTAATGGTTATGGCAATAACAGGAACTCCCTTTGTCTTTCCTTCCCTCATCTTATTCCGTCACTTTTCCATTAAGGAGAGTTGTAAAATCCTCTCTAATTCCGCTTCTTCTTCTTTCCTTCTCCTTTCTTCCTCCTCCTGTGCCCGGGCCGAAAGCTCCATAGCCAATCGCAGGTCAGTGTCGGGGCTGGAGGTGGAGACAGAGCTGGAGGGTGTGGTGTCACTGAGGTCTACTAAAACTCCCTCAGACTCAGACCTGTGGTTATGTAACAGAACATAATAACACAATTTAAGAAAATGTACACGGGAATGAACAGAGCACTTAGAAAAACCACCCTACCTATGCTTCTCCTCTGCTAACTAGACTACTGATTAGAGATTTTTTACAGTTAAACAGCTATATTGTGAAATAGTATTACAATTTAAAATAATTTGTGATCTACTTTAATATATTTTAAAATGCAATTTATTCCTGTGATGGCAAAGCTGAGTTTTCAGCATCATTACTCCAGTCTTCAGTGTCACATGATCATTTAGAAGTCATTCTAATATGATGATTTGGTGCTCGAGAAACATTACTTATTATCAATTATCAAAAATCTTAGAAAACCTATTTAATGACAGATTAGAAAAATTTATAGACAAACATGACATAATAAATGAAGGTCAGTATGGCTTTAGAGCAAAGAGGTCCACATCAATGGCTTTAGTTGAAGCTGTGGAAGAAATTACGAACACCCTAGACAAAAAAAAATATGCAGTGGGAATATTTATTGATTTAAAGAAAGCTTTTGATACCCTTAATCACTCAATTCTACTCACTAAATTAGAAAAATATGGCATTAGGGGGGTGGCTTCGAACTGGATCAAAAGTTACTTAACTGAAAGACAACAGTTTGTGAAGTTGGGCGAGTTTACGTCACAGTGTCTGGGCATTGCTTGTGGGGTCCCTCAAGGATCAGTATTGGGTCCTAAATTATTTAATTTATATATAAATGACATATTTTGTGTATCTAAATTACTGAAATTTATATTATTTGCTGATGATACCAATATATTTTTTTCTTGTGATAATTATAATACACTTATAAAAATTGTAAATGAAGAATTAGTAAAACTAAAAACTTGGATGGATATTAATAAATTATCTTTGAATTTAAATAAAACGAAGGTAATGATGTTTGGTAATTATAAAGAAAACGCAGAAATATTATTAAGTATTGATGGTGTTGCATTAGAAATAGTGTCAGAAATTAAATTCTTGGGAATAACTATTGATAGTAAATTAAGCTGGAAACCACACATCAGATACATACAAGGCAAAGTATCTAAAAGTATTTCTATTATTAACAAAGTTAAATATGTCTTGGAATATAATGCACTATATATATTGTATTGTTCATTGGTTCTGCCCTATTTAACTTATTGTATAGAAATTTGGGGTAATAATTATAAAAGTTCACTACATACCCTCTTCTTACTCCAAAAACGAGCAGTTAGAATCATACATAAGGTGGGATATTTTGATCATACAAACATATTATTTTTGCAATCTAAAATTTTAAAACTTTTTGATTTAGTTGATTTTTATACTGCTCAATTCTTGTATAAAGCCAACAAAAATGATCTGCCGGGTAATATTCAAAAGTTCTTTTTAGGAAGAGAAGGGGGCTATAACCTAAGGGGATGTGAAAACTTTAAAGTCCAGGCGGTGAGAACCACCAGGAAAAGCTTGTGTGTGTCTGTGTGTGGTGTCAGACTTTGGAATGGGTTGGGAATACAGTTCAAGCAATGCCCAAATATTCACCAATTCAAATTAAAATTTAAAGAAATGGTGTTGACAAAATATGAAGCTGAGTGAGGGATCTGGGTGCTCTTGTGTTTGTGATTGGTAATTGTAAAATAAAACGGAAGTATTTAGGATTATAAACGGTTCCTATTTATTTATCTTGAGATTGTAAATGGTGACACAATTACAATAGAGTGGGATATGTACAGCTGAGTAAATAATGATAATGATTATTATTAATTATTATTGATATTACTGTTATTGTAAAACAATGTTTAAACAATATGCTAGGATATGGTTATACTTTATATTTGATGTGATTATTATAGATATCGGGACATATTTGAATGTTTACGATAATGAGGATTATCATATAGCATAGTTATTATTGAGACAGCATAATGTAATTGTAAGAAACTATAAATACCAAATAAATACTATTAAAAAAAATTAATTATTATTTATGTGACTGTTAATGGCAGCGGATGTATGGGGTAATATATGGGAAGGAATTGGGGGTGGGAGCAAATAAGTTATACACTTCTTTCCACTCCCTTTCGAGCAACTATTATTATTTATATCTATGTATATGGAAGATAAGCTGTGCTATGTTATTTTTATTTGTGTGTATGTGTGTTAATATATATGTATATATTATTTTATTTTATTTTGCTCGAAATAAACATTAATCAAATCAAATCAAATCAAAACATTAATCAAATGTTGAAAACAGTTGTGCTGCTTAATATTTTTGTGGAAAATGTGACATATTTCAGGATGTTTTGATTAATTAAATTCAAAAGAACAGCATTTTATTTTAGATAGAAAATATCTGTAACATCATAAAAGTATTCATTACGTAAAAAAACACCAACCCCAAAACTCTTGATCAGGGCTGCGTTTCCCGTACAACGACGTAACTCGCTGCTTAACTACCATAGTACGATGCGTCGTTGAAGAAATCAACTAGCTAGTCACGACTGTTTCCCGAAACCATATTGTCGCAAATTGGTCGTTCACCCACACTGGTTAATGATGTCACGCAGGTGTTGGAGTAATAACTACTTTTAATGAATCTGTTTGATATCGAATTAATGCTAGATGTTTTGCTATAAATTACAGACATGGCATCTGAAGACTATTTCTCATTTTTCTCTGTTATTTTGCTTTATTTCCAGATTCAATCATAGGCTCGTTCTTAAAGGAGTACCGGTAGTTCACTTTAAAAAAAACTTTTGCTGATAATTTACTCACCCCCATGTCATCCAAGATGTCCATGTCTTTCTTCAGTCGAAAAGAAATTAAGGTTTTTGATGAAAACATTCCAGGATTTTTCTCCATATAATGCACTTTGCTGGGCACCAAACGGTTCAAGGTCTAAATGACCGTTTCAGTGCAGCTTCAAAGGGCTTTAAACGATACCAGACGATGAATAAGGGTCTTATCAAGCGAAACGATCGCTCATTTAAAAAATAAATAACAAAGTTTAAGTTTTATAAGCTCAAATGCCCGCCTTGCTCTGTTCTGTGTGACTCTCCTGTTCGAACTCGTTCATCAAAATGAACGAATCTATTTCCGAGTCAATCCCTTTATTTCGTTCGTTAAATGAATCAAATGACTCGAAAAAAGATTCGTTCATTTTGATGAACGAGTTCGAACAGGAGTCACACAGAACAGAGCAAGGCGGGCATTTGAGCTTATAAAACTTAAACTTTGTTATTTATTTTTTAAATGAGCGATCGTTTCGCTTGATAAGACCCTTATTCATCGTCTGGAATCATTTAAAGCCCTTTGAACAGTTTGCAGTTTGCACTGAAACTGTCTTTTGGACCTTGAACCGTTTGGTGCCCAGTAAAGTGCATTATATGGAGAAAAATCCTGGAATGTTTTCATCAAAAACCTTAATTTCTTTTCGACTGAAGAAAGAAAGACATGGACATCTTGGATGACATGGGGGTGAGTAA